ACTCAGTATTACACACTGCCACATCCAAAACTTATGTCAGCTTGAACAAATAGAAATTGAAGGGTTAAAGCATTTGTGATGATAATGAGGTCAGACATTTTACTGTCAAATGTAATGTATCCATGTTTGCATGTCTATTGCACTCTTGAGTTCTTGAGTAATTTTCCATCTTGTGTAAAATGTTTGTGTGGCAGGATGGACTGTGGTTGAATCCAGTCCCTCCTCCCCATTTGGTTACATTGGCTGTTGTCCTTCCTATCCGGTTCGTGATTGGCTTGTGGTGAGTCCGTGGTGGCCAATCATGTTAGGAGGAGGAGGTTAAAGCTTGAAACGTACCCTCTAGGGCAGTGCGTGACGTTGTAGGCTTGTGTTGTTTGGGTTCACCCAGTTCCTGGTGGTGTTGCAGAATTCCTTGTGTTGCGGCTAACCCATTTTCCATTGAGTTGAACGGAATAACGTGTTACTCGCCTGTTTGTTGACTCGCCTGCGAGATGTGTGTGTCGCGCGCTGTGGCTCAGGGATAGCTACTATAGCAAGGAAGCGTTTGCGGCCTGCCTTGGGGCAACTGCTGCTTTGCTTAAATACTGTTACTGCACGTCCCCCTACGTGTCGAACTTGTTTACGGCGAGTCCAAGTTAATGGACTGAGTTCATTTTTGCTCAAGGAAACTGCATCGTAGGCCACTTGTGTGGCCGACTGAGTATCTGCCCTCAGATGTGTGTATCAACGGATGAGTGTGTTTGTTATGTGATCATTTGAGTGGGTTGTGCGTTCTTATTTTCTAAAAGCGATTTCATTTGTTTCTTTGGTTATTTCATTTGCCAGTATTATAGTTGTTTGGTAAAGTCATTTAATTTGCCTTTTTGTTTATTTCATTTACCCGCATTATGATCGTTTTGTAAAGTAATTGCATTTGTTTCTTTGGTTATTTCATTTGCCAGTATTATAGTTGTTTGGTAAAGTCATTTAATTTGCCTTTTTGTTTATTTCATTTACCATCATTATAATCGTTTTGTAAAGTACTTTCATTTTGCTTCTTTGTTTATTTCCTTTACCAGCACTATAGTCGTTTTGGTAAAGTAATTTCATTAGTTTCTTTGGTTATTTCATTTGCCAGTATTATAGTTGTTTGGTAAAGTCATTTAATTTGCCTTTTTGTGTATTTCATTTATCTGCATTGTTGTTGGTGTGCATGGTTATTCCATGTTTTTGTTTGTTTATTTGACTTAAAAGTATTACTGTTGTTTTTTTCCTCTATCTCATTTTCTTTGTTGCCGTTCTGGAAAAGTTCTTGTTTTTTTTTTGTCTTTGTCATCATTGTTAGTTTGATTTATGGTGTGAAATTATGACTTATCGTTAATTTTGTTTATTCTGTCTTTGTTATATGTGGCGGCGCTGAGAGCTGACGGTGGGGACGGCGTGCTCGAGGTGGTGGGCCCTCTTTAGTGTGTAGTGTGGTTCCCTTCACAGTGTGACCGTTGCTGTGCTGGTTGTGTGGCTGTGCACGTGCGTTTGGGGTGGATTATTTGGATACTCATGCCCGAGTCGCTGGACGCCCACCAGTAAGCCTCAAGCCCGGTATTGTGAGTGTGCGTGTGTGAAATATACTCTATGTCCGGACACTGATTCACACATCCTTGTGTGTTATTTATTATTGTGTTTTATTGATGATTAATTATTTGATCCCCATTGGAGTGCTGTGATGTGGTATTGATTCTTACCCAGTGTGTAGTGTTTTAAGAATACGCTGACGTCAGCTTTTCAGAGTGTTTACTATTTTTGCTGTGAATTTGATTAATAAAATTGTATTCCTTTGTACGAACCATTTCTCTGTTTGTTCAGTGCGCGAACCTGATTGCCTAATTCTATAGAAGTCTTGGTGGTTACTTACAGTTCCCCGGGTTAGACCTCGGGGTGGCGTAGTCAAATTATATTTACTGCCGCTGCTACATTTGCATGAATCTGTCTGCTCAGTTTGGAGGACCAAACCTAAATACATGATTCAATGGGGTGTTTTAATTTATATTTACACAATTTAGTCCTAACATCAATCCATTCTCCAAATCACTCCAAAGAAAGAAGGAAAACTTGATTATTTGTTGATATGGTGGGTTTGGGCAGTTATTGCATTACTGAGTATTTATACAGTCAAACCAAAAATTATTCAGACACATATAAATTGTTATATTTTTTTACTAGTGGGTGCAGGTGTCAGAGTTCTGTCACTTCTGTCTAGTTTATTTATTGGTTTTGTGACAGAGCTCAGAGCTGACACTCCTGTTTTGTCATTTGAGTGGGCGCGCGGCTTTGAGCGTTCTCGAGCCGTGAGCTCACGTGTCTGTATGCCTTGTTACTGTACATGTGCGGGGCGAGGTGTTTGGATTCCGGCACATCTGTCTAGATTGTTTTCGGTTCTGTGTCGGGATTCGGACATTCATGCTCGGCGTGTTTGTCCTCTGTTGTGAGCGCATAGTATGAGCTTACGCTCGTTCTCGTGCGCTCTGTCTTGAGTTCGCTCGGGTCCACGTGTGTATGTTGTGTTTTGTGTAGCACGCGATGTCATGTTTTGTATTGTGCTGTGTAGCACACATCTTGTGTTTTACACTACCGGTATGTGTGCTTTCGTGTTGTGATGTTCTGTGTGAACACGTGGCTTATGAGTGTTTTCATTAGGTGCGTGTTCATCTCTCGTGAGCACATGACATAATTTGTGATTTGTTTTTTCTGGCCATGTGCTTGTGTTTTTGCCATGTTTGGTGTGAGCACATGTCTTGTCATGTGTTTCCTTGTGCCATGTGCTCTCCTGTCAATTGTCTAGCTAGCCCCTCCCATCTTATTACCTGATTATTGATTCATTTGCCCCACCCGTCCTCCCTCTTTACATGCTTTTGTTTACTCTGCCTATTTATTCTCCCTGTGTTTGAAATCCTCTGCTGAATGCAGTTCTGAAGAGTTTGCAATCATTTAAGTCACAAGCAAGACTGGACATAATAAATGTAGTACTAGAACTTCATTCACATATTTGTCAGATGGGGTCATGGAGGTAAGGCCAGGGTAAAGTTTACATGGGTTCCAGTACATGTGGGGGTGAAGGGTAATGAAACTGTAGATATATTGGCAAAACAAGCTAGTAAACGGGACGCTGTTGAAATTGCAATTTCAATAAGTAAAGCAGAAGCCAAAGCACAAATCTGGTCAAAAATTTATAAAAAATGGCAGGTTCACTTGGATGCAGAGGAGAAAGGGAGACATTTATATAACATTCAACAAAATGTTGGGACAGAGAGGGTCACTGAAGAAAACGAAGGGAAGAAATTAAGAATAGGACACTGTGGGTTAAATAAATATTTACATATTATGGGTAAGCTCATATCAGGTAGGTGTGAATTTTGTGATAATATTGAATCTGTGGAACATGTGTTTTTTGGGGTTTTTTTTTTTTTTAAGTGTCAAAAATATGAGAGGGAAAGGGCAAAGATGAGAGCGGGCATACGAAGGTTATGGGGGAAAGGGAATTAATTTAGGGAATTGCTGGGGAAGTCATTAAATGATATGAGTACACTGTTTTCGATTCTTAAAGGAAATGAGACTGGTAGAAAGGATATAGTTTTTTGTTTTTTTGTGGTTTATTTATCTCCAGCCTACACTCCAGTACAGTAGGTGGCGGTAATGCGCAATTAATGTTGGATGCCAACCGCCGTTAAACAATAGAGAAGTCGTCCTGTGCACTGTCTATGTCCTGTGCTGGTTTGTGGTCTAATGTTTACCCTTGTGTGTTCCTCCTGTGGTCAAGTTTTCCCCCTTGGGGTAGTTTTTGTTTGTTTTATTTTTAATAAAAGCCTTCATTCTTCTGCGATTGAGTCCTCGCCTCGTCTCCTCCAAACCCTGACAGCAGGACACTATAGTTATTTATGTAGGTGAGGTTAAACTGTGACATATTATACCCAAAAATTATTCAGACACTGACCTGACCATGTTTTTTCTTTCATTGCTAAGGTTACCTTTTTACACCACAGACTGAAAAAAATTAAGCATTGCTTGGTAATTGGTTGACCTAAATTGGTATTATCTAAATGTACTTAAATTTAACAGCTGACAGCAATTCAACTTAATTCATTTGTGAGACAGTCTAACAGAAGGATGGCCAAAACCAGTGAAATATCAACTGATTTGATAACTCTCGAGTTTCTTGTCATATTTTATCACAATTTTCTAAACTATAGCGAATAAACTCCAATAATGTGAAAAATGTTGAAGGTGTCTGAATACATTTTGGTTTGACTGTATGTACAAACTTTTTTGGGACTTTCTCCACTAGTGGTCGCCAACTCACATTTTTCTAGTTTTGGTCTCTTATATTAAAAGTGCTGCTGTTTATATTCCATATTTTGGGTAATTTTATTCCATATTAGCAGTTGGGTAACACAAAAACTACCAACAAAGTGACCCAATAGGCTCAAACCAATGTTTGCACCACTCTTATCTCACGATACTTCTGATTATATTACAGGTATGTCTTCAGTTGAATGTCTTTATGCTTTGCTAAGGCATATGGGTTTTGCGTGTCTGTTTTTTGAGTGGACTTGAACGCAAATTAGGGCACATATTTATTTTGATTGGATTACTATGCTGCAGACAAATAGGCCATGATAAACTATAGTAATGACATTACAAAATTGTTAATACAAATTTTATACATATATTACAGTATACATATATTTAAAAAAAAACCTTTAGAATTCATAATTCTAAAACAAAAACATTTTTTAATAATTTCTTCTGACTATAAACCATAAAAGCTAGATTAAACCTCATCTAAAATAGAATCATTATACAAACGGCTGCAGAACTGTTCCATTATTCATAATATTTATTTTTTTATCTTAAAAAAAATCCTAAAGATGCCTGTGAAGAAAACTAATATCTTTCATATTTCTAGTACATGTTAATGTATTCATTCTACATCAACTTGTAGGCTGAAATAATTTGTAGAGAATCTAAGTAAAACTTAGTGCAATGATTGCTAAAATTCTATTTGATGGGATTACATTCAGGATGAGCGGCAGCAAGATGTGTACTGTGCGGTGAGATTTTGGTCAAGTACGTTCCAGGGACCAGCCCAGATATTCCATCCCTCCACGCTCTCCACCACCCATCCTCGCCTTGCTCAGTTATTGTGATAACTTGTCCTTTGCTGACAGACAACTCGTCATCTTCCTAGAAAGGGCAGGGAATGGAGTACACAACTCTGTTTATCAGTCTGTAAGGCCTATAAACTTTGTTTATAAAACTTTGTTTATAAACCTTTTTACTTTTTAAACTTTTCAACAAGGATGTCAGGCAAACTGTGTTGGTTAAAATTACACTTATGCGGGGTTTTTTTTCTTTTTTTTTCTTTGAATTACACTTTACACATTTTATTTCTACTTCCTCTAAATCAAATTCCTCTAAATTAAACACTAAGTATTACTAGTAACAACCAATACTTGAACAAGTTTGTATCTCTGGGATAACTAATTATAAATAAATATTTATTTACCTGAGCTTTAAAATCATATAACACCATGTACTTTTCCTCAGTTACTCCTCCCCTTTGTTGAGCCGGTGTATGTGTTCCACCCATATTACTGCCAGCTTCAGGGCAGCCTGTGATGTAAGGACAGCGACGCTCAATGCTCCACATTCAACTACTTGACTTCACTAAAATTCATTGTGAATTTAGTTTAATGCTTTTTGCATATTGTCATGTCTTAAAGCATAAACTGTAAGTTTAAGACTTCAGAGAAGGAATACTGACCACTTGAAGGCATCCTTGGAAGCAGGACAGATAATCTGTAGAGAGTTCAGATATGAAAGAGTTTCACGATCAAGTTTAAAAGAACAAAAATGCTTTAAAGTCCCCCTGTGGTGAAAATCAAGTTTTTAATGTTGTTTATGTCTATGTGGTGTTTTTAAAGGGACTATAAGTAACTTTTTAGGTAATTTATAATCTAAAATCAATATTTTTATTCATAAATATGTCCCCAATGGTGTACAAATACCTCTGCCAATTATCTGATTTATCCTCGTAAACGAAGAATTTATTATATTTATATACATGGGACGGGTAAGTCCACGGAGGCCTCCATGTAGTTCCGCCATCTTGAAAAACTATAATAGCAAAGAGGGACAAAAAGTACTAGGCCAACACGTTTCCACAACGCGTTTTCGTTCAGAGCCAGCGTGACGTAACTGAAAGCAGCAGAAGCGGAGGAGCAGAGCAGTGAGAGGCGCTTGTCACTGCCCCGGCAAGTTTAAAAGGCTGCATTGCAAATCCTCGTCGCCAGAAAAGTGAAGTCCAAAATAGATCGTAAAAGGAAACGTGACCGGAGATTACAAAAAAACAAGTTAATGTCGGGATAGCTTTTTCCAGGTGGATAGAGCTAATGGAGGAGAAAGATTTCAAAAGAGACGCTGAAGTCCTGCTTTCTTCTCGACAGTCACTACAGGCTTAATTACAAGCTTTTTTTCATTGTTTGGTTGTGTACTTTATTTTATAGACAGATGAACATGTATAGTTAAAAGTTGATGATGATATCTAACAATGCACGTAGGCTACTTCAGAAAATATAACGAATAAAGAAGGCATAACTACTAATTACAATAGTTCATGTTTTTGACACTCATTACTTCATACTGTAACATTCGTTTGTTCGTTGTGTCAATTTGAAGTTTGTTTGAAATAACAAACCTGTTCACCCGAAGGAAAACTCCACGAAGTGCTATTAGAAGACATCCTGTCATAGCTTTTTGGTACATAACGGCTACTGTAGATGCAACACGCATTTGAAAACGCGAGGCGCTGGAGAGCACAATTCGTTTGAATGCAAAATACAATTTCACCGCTAGATGGGAGTAATTCTTACTTAATGTCCCTTTAAAGGTGAACTAAGTAACTTTTTTACCTTAACCGAACAGCTTTGGAGTCATTGTAATGTTTATATTACTGATTTCGTGTTGAATAGTGGTCGTCTCGCACCCCCCTGGTGCCTGTGAGCCGCAAAACCACCCTTGCAACTTTGGGCCGGCGAGCCGCCGGCTTCAGTGTTAGGAAGTATCGTGTGATATCAGGTCTCGCGAGGTAACGAATTGCTTTACGGCAAAAAACAGATCTGATAAAATTCTGATAAAATTAGCATCAAACAGAAATAACCCGGCGCCGTATACATGTGGTGTTCGAGGCGCACATACAATACAGACTGCCGACAGTTAAACACGGCGCGCGCAGCTCTTAAAGGGGCCATACCTTATTTCCACTCATTACAGCGTCCATCCTACTGAACAGGTACCGGTGTACAGGGGGAGGGGATCCGGCCGTGAGTGCGAGCCATCTCTGCGTGAGTGCTATTCACGACAGTACAAGTACTCCACAGCGACTCTAGCGGTCGCTGTTTGACAAAAACGGAATTCCTACTTAGGGCTGCTTTAATGTGTATTTAAATTCATAAGTCAACACCATTGCTGAGTATTTTCTCCTTAAAACTGCAGTGAACCAAAGACAGTCTCAAAAACAAGGTTTGAAGTTTCCTGACGTCAAAAACTACCTTGTAACCAATCACGTCAACGTGCCGGCGGGCTTTAGCATATCATTAACAGCGAACTAGTAGGGGAGTCACAAGAGATGCCAATATTATCTCAATATTTTTTTGTTATGAAAAATTAGGTAGATTTTGCAATATAGTGGGTGTATGATGTATATTACGATGTTATGATGAACTATATGCCTTTCTCCACTGACATTCTGAATTGTTCAAAGCATTTCTGATAATTGTTAAAAGGCAGACTGAGATGGCGAACGTGAACATGGTTTGTGTAACATTAGCAACACATTATTAGCTGTTTGATAACATAGTCAAGCAAAAGGCTAATCATATTAATTACCGCCATGTGTCCGACGTTGTAAAGAGCGATACCATTGTGCAGCGTTTACCTCATAGGTTGGCCGAGTAAATCTGTGAGCGGGCGTGAGTGAGTGGAGGCGGGGCTAATTAGCATATTCATGGAGCCACATATACTAAATGAAGCAAGGGTGTCGAGTTACATTCAAGCTACTTTTTTTAACAGGAAAAACACATTTAAATGTCATTTTAGTGATCAAAGATGAGTTTTAACTGGGGGATAAAATTATTGACTACAGGGGACTTTAACTCATTCTTAATTATTCAGACATTCACCTGTTCGTTGCAAGCCTCCCGACTCCACCATTGGTGTCCACGTCAGAGTAACACTGAAACTCAATGGGAGCTGAGGAGAGATGAAGGAGTGACTGTCAATTTATGTACCATTTCTTAAAAGCATCCCAACATCCTATATCAACTCTTTAAAAAGACAGCTGTTACATTTCTGAAGAAAATCATGATAAATGTGATGAATTTACCTGGGGGGCGACAGCCAGTCTTTTTCATCTTAATGAAACAGTTGTTGTCAGTGATGATGTCGCACTGCTCAAGAATCTTCCTTACTTCCTCATAGCACTACAAAAGAAAAGAGTTGTTACAATTAATGTAAATGCAAACAGCATTTAGCTAGGCTTTTAATTATAAAGATGGACAAAGGAGGAGATTTACATCATCGTCCCGGACGCACTGCATCGAAAGCAGATTGCAATGATCCCATAACACACAGCGCAAGATATTAATGCGCTCAGACTCCTGCTGCTGAAACACCTAGAAATTACAAAACATATTGTTCCTTTTGTAAAATGTTGTATGTAACTTCCTTTTAAAACACGCCCAGAAAATTAAGAATTATTTCCTTTTTTTTAAACTATTTTTGAAACATTTTCTTGACTCATTTAAATCTTTGTTCTACATCAGTAAACTTCAAAGGAGTGATATGACTGCTTATCACATGCCTATGAGATTGTGTTATATCTTACTTAGTCATCACCCTAAAGAAATCATGAAGTTTAGCTTATTTCTGTATACACTCCTTCTGCTTAAACATGTTTTTGTTCTTTACCTCACATGCACTCCTGTATGTGCTCTCCCAGTCCTGGGAAGTTTCCTCTAGTTGATCAACATTCCATCTATATTGCTTTTCTGAACCAGCAAAGGAAATCAAATTAAGTCAGCTCTTCATTATCATTAACATTAACATGTCACAAATAGCCTACTGCTTCACTGACAAAGTTTGGACATTTACAGATATATTTCAAACTCTCATATCTACATCATTGTTCAAAAGTTTGGGCTGAGATAGATTTTTTTAAATAAGAAATTAATACTTTTACTCAGGAAGGATGATTGAAGAAATTTACCAAAAGTGACAGTAAAGACATTTTTAATGTCTTTTCTATGTCAAATAAATCCAGTTCTTTTATACTTTCTAAGAATCCCAAAAAATGTGTCATGGTTTCCACAAAGATATTAAGCATTTTTAAAATAATAAGAAATGGATCTTGAGCACATCAGCATATAAGAATGATTCCTGAAGTATCACGTACACTTTCAACACTTACGCTTTCAACATGTTAATGTTCATGTTAACAAACATACACAGACATTACATTGCATTTATCTTCCTTCTGCCAGCAGGATCATAACAACAGAGAAGTTTGTTAGCACGAACCTGCCAGATTGGCTGCTTGCCTGCATAACCTGGCCCTGTTCATCACCTACAACATAGATTGATAAATAGCTATATTCAGTATTTGGACCTTACCTGAAGTATAAGTTTACACATAAGCAGTATCTGTATCATAACAAAACTGTTCACTCAAAGACTCTATTCTAAAGAATTGAAAGTGTTGCACTGTCTGATTGTATTAGAGTTTCTTTCAACACTGAGGTCGAATGATGCCCAGTCAGACTGAAACAAGTTTCCGTTGCTTTAATCCTCATTTTGGCCTTACTGTGTCCACAAACCTGCCATTGGTAATTTTTCACAACTGCCTAAAATTCCAGAATTAAAATGATCAGTTCTCTTTAGGAAGTGTTTGTAAAATATTTAAAGTCCCCCTAGTCAATAATTTCATCCCTTAAAACGCATCTTTGATCACCAAAATGACATATTTTAAAGTTTTTTTTCTTGAGAACAATTTTTTTTGTCATGCCTTAAAATAGCTTGAATGTAACTCTACACCCTTGCCACTTAGTATACGAGGCTCCATGAATATGCATATGAGCCCAGCCTCCACTCAATCGCACCAGCTCAGAGATGCACGGGCTGAGGTAAACGCTGCACAATGGTATCGCTCTTTACAACGTCGGACACATGACGGTAATTAATATGATTAGCTTTTTGGTTGACCACATTATCAAACAGCTAATAATGTGTTGCTAATGTTACACAAACCATGTACACGTTCGCCATCTCAGTCTGCCTTCTTACAATCATAAGAAACGCTTTGAACAACTCAGAATGTTGCGGAGAAAGGCATATATAGTTAATCATAACATTGTTATATACATCATATACATAGTATAGCTATATTGCTAAATGTACACGATTTTTCATATCAACAGAAAATATACCAGGGCAGGACCTGGCTTCTCTTGAGACTCCCCTGCTTCAGAGAATAGTTAATGATATGCTAAAGCCCGCCGGCACGTTGACGTGATTGGTTACAAGGTAGTTTGTGAGGTAAGAAACACCGACGATTTCCAACTGCGTTTTTTAAACTGTCTTTGGTCCACTGCTAGCCTGGGAAAACCCAGACAACTTCCGGCAAATTTAGATTTGCTCTGAAAGTTAGTCTGGCAAAGAGCTCATTCAAGCCCATTTCCAATCCGTCGAAATCGAGGCACCAATCAGAAACGTTGGGGCGGGCTTTACACGATGACGACAGCGCTGGGATTTTGAAGCAGATTTTGTAGCCTACATTACAAAGATGGATGCCGCCGTCGAACATCACTCGTTCGAATCAGCTATCGCGTCTGTTTTAAGCGATTTGAACGTTTCTTTTTTGTTAAAAACCGAGCAAAGAACAACACTCGGAGATGTTTCTCCGCCGCTCTGCATACGTCATCTCCTTCATCGCTCTGATTGGGTTTTAGGTCTATCCGCGACGTCCGTTGGTGACGCCCCTCTGGAAATGATTTGCCTATGACGCTTTGCCAGACCATAACTCAGTTACAACTGAGTATGGTCTGGTTTTAACCAGGCTAGTCCACTGCAGTTTTAAGGAGAAAATACTCAGTAATGGTGCTGACTTGTGAATTTGCACATGGTTTGTCTTAAAGCATATTAAAAACACCACATAGACATATAAACAACATTAAAAACTTGATTTCACCACAGGGGGTCTTTAACTTAGTGTATTTTTAGTGTATAAAAAGTTATGTGTTAAATGTTTACGCCCTCACACCTTTTCTGATTGCCGGTGGGTGGAGGTGTTCACGTTTGTCTTCTTCCCCACTGCTTGCTCAGCTTCATCAGCCTCCTTAAGCCTCTGCTCATATAACCTTTTTGACTGTATAGGACATACAGTAAAGAGAATAGATTCAAAGTGAGTAAAAGTGCAAGATAAACGAGAACAGGGAGGGGGTATAGAGCTCTTTATGTGTGTCTAAAACATATCTCACTATCTGTGGTGTTTCTGTGGTTGTACAGCACAGGAAGTTAGTCTTATTATATCCAGAGACAGCATGCATTACCTACAAACCAACCAATCTATTCTTATTTTCTCTCATTCCTCTGTCATCGTCTGTTTCTATTCTCTTTTACTATCCTATCTCTCTCTCTCTACACATTTCTTGGTGGTCAAAATAAATGTTTGAGTTAGTCATCAAACCCTATAAGCCAATGAACAAACCCAGCATTTATCTAATGTGTGCTGTCTAATCATGTCCAAATACATTCCGCAAATATAGTCACTGCATTTCTGTTTCTTCTTTCAGTTTCTTACTCTCTTCCTCTTTTGGCTGATACTGAATTTTGGGTGGACCCTGAGAATGATGTTTCATTTATGCCCCGAACTACTAATGACAGTCATTTCTAAAATGGGAAACAAGAGGAACTAGGGTTGGAAAATAGATACTTGTTTTAATCTAATTTACTGTACTTACCTCCATGGTCTTCTTGTGCAACACCATTTTAGGCTTCTGAAGTTTTTCAATAATCTCTTCAAGCTAATTAGGACAGAAAATAGATATAAGTTGCTGTCTTTTATCAGTTGCATTATTCATTAATTAATTGGTGTTCACTCCTCACAAAATACAACAAATGGTGTCTAAGTTTATTTAAATGATCATTTACAGTGTTTATGTGCTCAAAAAGGAAAGTGCCATTTCCTTCCTCCATATTGAATAACCACAGCTACAACCATGGAAACATATCTAAAGTGCTGGGCTGTGTGCATAATTTGTCTTGGATCATTTGATTTATTTTTTTAACCTTTTTTCTCTGTTCCCTCTGGTGTTCTCGAAAAACCTCTATTTTGAGAACTTCCTCCTTTATCCTTTCAGATAGTTGGATGTGCAGGTTTCCTGCCTTTTCAATCTCTAGAAAACAATGCAACTCAAGTTGAGGACTCTAGCATTCAAGTATTTTTCTATGTGCGAGGCAAAAAGGAATTGCATCACATCACATACCTGCTTTTAACTTGTCAAACGATGCCTTTAATGTTCTGAGTTAAAAAAAAAAACCAGATAGTGAAATGAGTACATAATACATACTTTTTTCACATAGGCCTACCTTTGAATACATATGTAGCTAAAAAAGTTTTATTTGAATATAAGGTAGTTAATAGGAATAGTTAAGTTATTCAGAAGAGGCATTCACTGAATAAACATGTCATTTGAATTTAGAGTGTTTTAATTTGAATAAGTTTGCATGATATTCACAGACCAACTGACCCAATCTCGGTTTGACCTTCTGCCTTCCGAGCAATCGCCACCAGATCTCGTCCATACTTGTCCTCCGCCAGTGCTCTGTGAAGGAGAGCAGAAGTCACACACAGACATTTATAGAGACACACAGACATAATTACCTCATTTTCCATACCTCATTTTCAACAGGTCTTCTATATCTTTGCACATATGTCTGCCATCATGTAACCTCTGCAATATGGCCTCATAACCCGACTGGTCCATAAAGTTTGTACCCTAAAAAGACACCAAACATGCAACCTAATGACACTATGCAGTGGGGAACTGTTAAAAACAAGTAAACAATTAAATATGAAAATGTTCTTGAATAGGACTTTGCAAGATTATAGTTTTAAATTTAACTGCTTTTAAAACGTGACGTTAATAAAAGGAAATACACCCTATAAAAACAAGTGCAAGTTTTATTAGAGTGGACATTTTTACTAGTTCAATTCAGAAAACACAAAAAAATCCATTATTCTTGATATAGAAATATAGGAAGTTGTATTTCCCGTAGTGAGAAATTGTACTTAAGTGTGAGAGGCTTACTATAACAATAACTTACCCAAAAGGCATCGCAGAACAGTAAAGCCATCTTGAATGTTTAGTCCTCAGAAGTGTCTCCTGAACACCTACTGACAAACCCCGTTGAGACAGATTACATTAAAGTTGCTGTAAAAGTTGAAGAAACACACGCAACAGAGGCAACAGTCAAATGAAAGGTTTGAAACGAGGAAGAAACTGCGTGGCGGTTTCAGCTGGTCAACTTTGATCTCTTGACGTCTGCATGCTCTTTGAAAGAGGAAGAATAATGTTGATGTCACTGTTTTAAACGGTTCAGCGCGCAATTTCTACAGAGATGACAATGAAATTGGCTAAACAATCAAACGAATTGATAAGATAAGTTAGTTCAAACAGTAGATGTTTACGATTTTATTTCAACATTGCGCATTTGTTGAGGGATTTATCTAGATATTTTTCACATAGTTATAGGACGGAACAAATCAAGCTTAAATCGGTATTAAAGCGGCAGTAAAAAAATCGCCGTTTTATGACAATGTAAACAAAAATCTGTGCTCTCGTCTCTTTTCCTTTATCACTGTCCTGGCTGGCTGGCTGGCTCTCCTTTTTCTGGGCGAAGATTGCTATAACACACTTAAGCCAAAAGAGGGAGACACAATTCTCCCAATCTGAAAGAGTGTAGCCTAGTGTGGTGGAGTATCAGACTTCACCTGGCTCAACAATGAGAAACCGATCAAGTGTCTGGGTGAGCAAACATCACACTTTGGGATCAATATACAGCGTGAAAATCTAAATAGCCTCTCTTTGCAAAGAGGACAGGAGGTCCTAAAAGCATGCCACTTGTCTGTGCGCACGTGGAACAAGATGTGTGTTGATGATGATGATAATGCAAGTAACAGGTTTGATCAGGTTTAATATGTGAATAAATCAACTATATATATACTACAGATTTAATAATAAATAGTTAACTAATGAAATATAGCCTACTAAATAATATATTAAAGAAAATTAAAAAATGCTAAAATGTTTATGTGGCGGTCTGGTTTAGGGGATAGAAACTATCATTATCTCACTATAAAACATTAGAAGTCAATGCTTTGTATGAGTGTAGAACAGTTTGCGGTAGATACATTACAGTTCCCTTTCTATACTGGTTCACACTGTACGATTTTGGCCACGATCTGAGACAAATTTTGCAAATCCTAAAAGATTCCTCTGATCCTAGACAGCCGATTAATGACTGCTGCGATAAAATTTGACCTCCGACGAAATTCTGCATGGCAGTGTCAGAAGATTTGACTCACAGTCCTGTAGTCTGACTTTTCCTACAACGACCGTCAAATTGCCTTTGTTTTTCAAGACCAAAATTAACGTTAGAGATTTCTTTGTAGCCACCATTTCAGTTCCGTGTGTAATGCAGCTCACTGTCACCGAACGCGTCATTGATTGATGATGTGAAACTCTGGACAAGTGTTCTTGCCTGCGTCCGTTTTTAACACATCTTGACTGTCGTACAGTCTGACATTAATGACAACTGAGATCTTACAGTGTGACATGGATTACATCAGTGATCATGTTCGTACAGTCTGACAACAATCGTAAAGGACTATTATAAATTGCACAGTGTGCACCCGGAGTCGCATTGCATCAGTGGCTGACACGCATGGGGAAAAACAGATCACCTGCAAAGACAAATGGCAATGGCTCTTTAGCCAGCCAAAACGTCTGTGCCCGACTGCCTATTTAAGTCTCCTTCAGCGCCTCGGCCCCACACGGTTCCATCTTGGGACCTGTTCACAGTCCTGAGGGCACTCTGAGGCCCTCCGTTTGAGCCGTTTGCATCGGCCGACCTTCGGCCTCTCTTTCTGAAGCCCTTCGAGTTTAAGCCTAATGACAGTAAATTTGTCCTTTGACCAAGAAGAGGCTATGTGCATAAGGTGCTTTCCACGCCCTTTAGAGCACAGGTCATAATGCTCTCTGCTCTCCCATCCACTGAGGATGAGCAGGTGCCTGCTCTGCCCAGTCTGGGCACTATAGGGTATACATTGAGTGCTAGCCAGTTCCAGCAGTCAGTGCAACTATTTGTGTGCTTTGGAGGCTGCTCAAAGGGGCTGCAGTTACGAAGCAGACTATCTCATTGGATAGTGGACACGATAGTGCTGGGTTATAATTCCCTGCATGGGCTTGCAGTGCCCTAAAGGGGCAAGGGCCCACTCCTCCAGGGGAATGGCCTCCTCTTACGCTTGGAAACGTTTCGGTTACTAACGTAACCTTGGTTCTCTGAGATAACGGGAACAAGAATTGCATAACTTGCCATGCTACTGCGCCTGCACACGAGTCGACGCTGCCGCTCAGTCGGAAAATTCAGATGAAAATGGCTTTCTTAAACAGGCAGTCGACCCCACCCGTTTTGGCGGGCCAAAAAAGCCATTTGTCACAGAAATCAAACTGAGTTTTCCCCATACGCGTCAGTTACTGACACAATGCTCAGTCCTGTTATCTTGGGGAATCAAGGTTATGTTAGTAACCGAAACGTTTTTTTCCAATTGCTAGGACAAATTTCTCAATACTTGGTGTGTTTGTAATCCACTGCAGTTTGTTACATTTTCCATGTTTACATTAAAGTACAAATGTTTTCCTATAGTTGTCCCCTTTTATATCCTACACTCACCTAAAGGATTATTAGGAACACCATTCTAATACTGTGTTTGACCCCCTTTCGCCTTCAGAACTGCCTTAATTCTACGTGGCATTGATTCAACAAGGTGCTGAAAGCATTCTTTAGAAATGTTGGCCCATATTGATAGGATAGCATCTTGCAGTTGATGGAGATTTGTGGGATACACATCCAGGGCACGAAGCTCCCGTTCCACCACATCCCAAAGATGCTCTATTGGGTTGAGATCTGGTGACTGTGGGGGCCATTTTAGTACAGTGAACTCATTGTCATGTTCAAGAAACCAATTTGAAATAATTCGAGCTTTGTGACATGGTGCATTATCCTGCTGGAACTGGCCATCAGAGGATGGGTACATGGTGGCCATAAAGGGATGGACATGGTCAGAAACAATGCTCAGGCCGTGGCATTTAAATGATGCCCAATTGGCACTAAGGGGCCTAAAGTGTGCCAAGAAAACATCCCCTACACCATTACACCACCAGTCTGCACAGTGGTAACAAGGCATGATGGATCCATGTTCTCATTCTGTTTACGCCAAATTCTGACTCTGCCATCTGAATGTCTCAACAGAAATCGAGACTCATCAGACCAGGCAACATTTTTCCAGTCTTCAACTGTCCAATTTTGGTGAGCTCTTGCAAATTGTAGCCTCTTTTTCCTATTTGTAGTGGAGATGAGTGGTACCCGGTGGGGTCTTCTGCTGTTGTAGCCCATCCGCCTCAAGGTTGTGCGTGTTGTGGCTTCACAAATGCTTTGCTGCATACCTCGATTGTAACGAGTGGTTATTTCAGTCAAAGTTGCTCTTCTATCAGCTTGAATCAGTCGGCCCATTCTCCTCTGACCTCTAGCATCAACAAGGCATTTTCGCCCACAGGACTGCCGCATACTGGATGTTTTTCCCTTTTCACACCATTCTTTGTAAACCCTAGAAATGGTTGTGCGTGAAAATCCCAGTAACTGAGCAGATTGTGAAATACTCAGACCGGCCCGTCTGGCACCAACAACCATGCCACGCTCAAAATTGCTTAAATCACCTTTCTTTCCCATTCTGACATTCAGTTTGGAGTTCAGGAGATTGTCTTGACCAGGACCACACCCCTAAATGCATTGAAGCAACTGCCATGTGATTGGTTGATTAGATAATTGCATTAATGAGAAATTGAACAGGTGTTCCTAATAATCCTTTAGGTGAGTGTATATAGATGGTGATGAAATTGAAAGACACCTGTGCAGGTTGATTTTACGACACTGAAGCTTCGAAGCTTGTATCGCGTCCGCAGCGCTATTTCTCATTAAGCTGTGTCGGAGCACATATTGTTTTCAGAGAAACACGCGATCAACGAAAAACGAAGACTTTCTTTCCAGTCACGTGAATGCTTCACTTTGTGTGTCGGAATGTTTGTAGGAAAACTAAACATATTTAGCATTGCAGAGAACAGAGATCATAATAAAACGAGAATCAACACTGGCTTGGCTTTTCGGAGATGATGAGAACTAAGGAATTTGCAGTATTTTTTTTATAACAGTAAACGCTCTATTCATGCAGTTGCGATATTATATTGTGTCATAATGCAGTAGGACTACATAACGTATTAAATGAAAACGTCTCTGAAACGTCAGTGTATTTGACAAATATTGCATATAAAGTATGCAAACAACACGTGAGCACTACGGGAAGCAGAAAGTGTCAGACTTCACGTCTCTATTTTCAGCTCCTCCCCTACTGCAAGTGGCAACTCTCGCTGATTGGTTACATCCAGCCGCAGCCGATGTCGAACGGACTTCATCTCAAGCCTACTGCAGAGCAAATGGGCGGAGCTTACGTTTAGCTCCCCTCCCTAGACGTCCAGCGAGGAGGAGTGAATGTAATATCCAACGACCACACCCTAACCCTATCCACAACTCTATCCCTCCACCCAATTAGACGTCCAGAGAGGTGGAGCTGAACGTCATTTGATTCTGCAGTGAGCACCACTTGAGCCTATCAGTGAGTGTTTTGTGAGCAGTAGGATAACGTCTCTGTTACGTATGGTAACCCTCGTTCCCTGAGGAGGGAACGGAGACGTTTCGTCGGAGGAGTTTCCAACGAATTGGGATCACGCTAGGGAGACCAATTGCCTTTGAGTGAATTAAAACGAGTCAATGAATATTGGCATGCAGGACTTGCATTCCGTGCCCCGCCTGCCAGTGCGGGTATAAAGCGGAAGCGAGCGCACACACATATGCTTTACGCTGAGGAGCCGGACGGTGTCCAGTCCTCCGCGAAGGTACAGCAAGCATGGCGACAGGACAAGACGTCTCCGTTCCCTCCTCAGGGAACGAGGGTTACCATACGTAACCGAGACGTCACCTTTCGTTCAGGAACTCCTACGTCTCGTTGGAGGAGTTTCCAACGAATTGGGATCCCTAATAACACGCCATGGTGCTGGCCCCTTCTAGCGCCCAGCTTAGCTTCCCGCCAAAGCAGTTTCATCATTTTCTTTACGGCGGGAGCTAGCTAGGAAGAATCACACTTCTGTTCCGCAAGACCCGCTCAGTGGATTTGGATAACACTGGGGAAGCGTGCCCAACCTGTAGGAGGGAACGCTGCGGAGCCCCTGCCCGCCCGAAGGGAGGCACTGGAATACACATATG